ATATTAAATTTAGGATGCACTAGTCCAGCTGTTTCAATTTATATATACAGTTTCAGTTTATATACATATATCAAGGCTGCCCAAACCTTTTCCCCAAAATGAAAATTTATCGGAGGGCTGCGGTCAAATGCAATAATATAATTCATGAAATACAAATACTTCTTAAGTACAGTCCTTTTATTTTAATGATTATGTCCTGCTGGAGTGTTACATGATTWGTTTGTGTACAAACTAATACAGTATCAGAATTTTATATATTAATACTTCTCATTCAACCACAGTTAAATTCACTCTATCTAGGAGGCACACTTTATATGGATAGTATTTATTGTTTTACAACAACAAGCTGGAATGAAAACAAACAAAAATGAAATAAAAGTAACAACTTTCTACTTCTTGCCTTTTTTTTAAAAAAAATGTAAGGAGTAGAAAGTACAAATAAATGTGTGAAAATGTAAGAAGTAGAAGTAAAAATTAGGCTGAAACATAATTACTCAAGTAAAGTAGATACCCAAAAATTCTACTTAAGTACAGTAACAAAGTATTTATACTTAGTTATTTTACAACTCTGCGCAGAGGGACCCTAACAAAGCATCAATATGTGACGAGTTGGGAGTCAGAATGCATTGCAATAGATGTTGGAGATGTTTCTGCAATTGTTATAACAAGCGCCAACATTTGCAGGCCAGTGGGATTTTACTTTAAGGTCCAAAAGGTCATCAAAAAGAAAATTGCGTGACAAAGTGACTGTGACATAATGATTAGAAGACATTGAGGTGGGAGAACAATGAACTTCATTTTTTGTTTCGAATTTTTAAAAAGATGAGAAATGACACATAGATTTGAAATTCAAAATGTGGACAAAAAAAAAAAAACAGCTTCCGACCTCAAAAAGCGATTGAAATGTCGCTCGCAGATTCAAAATAGACCTGACACAAGACTTGAGTCCAATCCGACTGATCATTCAGCTAATGGCTCCTCGGATATAATTTTGTTGGTGCAGAAACATTGTTTTATATCAGTCAACGTGTTTATTCCATGTCATTTTTTTGTCAGTTGCAACCATGAAATGGTAATAATTAAGTGTCTTTCTATCAGTCTGTCAATAACAAAGTGTCTAAAGGTACAATTGGGGTAAAATGCTTTTATGTTGAATTGGGTGTTTTTTGAAGAAATTCATTCAAATTCATCCAGGGAGTCACATGGTTTTTGCTTAAAATACTAGAAGAAAAATTTAAACCTTCACCTAAAAAACATAAAGCACTCATTGCCTTAATTCAAGAAAGTCTGCCTATTTACTTCTGCACAGTACTGCAGGTATGTCATGGTAGGTTGAATATAAAGTGACTGATTTAAAGTAAAAAAGAAAAAAAATGAAACACAAGGACAAAGTGAGAGGTAGGAAGTCCCAAAAAAGTATAAAGAAGTGTAAGAAAAGCACTAAGAACTGGGAAAAAGGGACAGAATGATAGTCATATAATAAAATAGAAAGTGCCAGAGTTTGTAAAAAAGAAAAAAAAAACATTCTATCTTATCCAATTACAGAGCCATTACACTCCTGCTCTGGAGTTGACAGATAACCAGGCTTGTATCAGTAGAAACGTCAATATCTCAAAAAGCCGTTGCAGCAAAGTGGTTCCCTTGAAGGGATAAAACGCTATGAAAAAAGGGAAAGGCAGAAGGGGAAAGACAGGGTGGGTTGAGGAATTGGGTTTGAGAGGGACAGGGACTTAGTGATAAGCAGAAATACAGCAGAAGATAAAGATTTAAAACACAAACCAAGTGGACATTGACCAAGGCAATGTGGCACTTGTAAAAAAAGATAAGACAATGTGATGGGAAGAATGAATGTGGTGGGATAGCTGGCAAGAACAAAAACCAGCTAAATAAAGGAGACAAAAAAAGTACAAGATGATGATTTTATACATGAGGAGAGCCAGAGATGAGATGTGCACAGATTGGTTGTAAAAGACATGGAAAGGTAAAGAGAGTGACAGATAAAACCAGAGGCTCAGAATTTGAAGGAACTTTGAAGATAAACTGAACTCAACCTTAGAAAAAGGATGCTGTCAGTGGTGAATTAGACTGCAAGTGAGTTCAAATGAGCACAGATCAGGCAGCMAAGGTTGAAAAAGTCTAAAGATGTGTTGACTATTACAAAGAAACCAGAAGAAAAAAAAAACGGTATATTGCAAACTAAAGAGGTGTTGAGGCTGCTAATGGTTTTCAGGGAAGTGTTCATGAGAATGTTCGGCCAAGAAAACAATCAAACTGAGGGAGTTCCTTGTTGTACCTGGCCTTTTTTTCAAGTCAGTTCATATTTCATGACAAATAAATCTTAATGTAAAGGGAGCTTCTGGTTTGCTCGCAGTAGATCCAGTAAAAGCTGTCCCAGCTGACATGGCTTTTTTTTTTCTTCCAACCCCACAACTCTGGTGAGAGTTGCTTAAGTGTACACTTTTCTGCTGTTGGCTAGGAGGGGCCACAAAGTAAGAAGTTAGCAATTTTTACTCCATCGTTCAGGGCCCCCTTCACACGTTCACTGCTTGTTGGTAGGTATAACATTTTCGAATCTGACACAATTTCAGCTCTGCAACTTTACTGCATCACTGATCACACTCACACCAATGCCAGGTCAGCATACACTCAAATCGAAAGTTCTGCGGCAAAAAATAAAATAAAAAACTGTATGTACAGCGGGTAAAATAAGTATTGTACACGTCACCATTTTTCTCAGTAAATATATTACTAGAGG